GAACCTAACAAAATATATTTTTGATTTTTAGAATTAATAACGCAAATCTGAAATATGATATTATCCTAAATCACTGAATATAGATTGGCTTGCTAAGTACGGGATAGGAACAACTTAAAATTTCCCAAATATAGGAAAATCATCAAAGTTGAAGGCTGCTTTATTCAGATTTCTTTATATAGATAAGGTCTTCATTTGAACTGCTAGATATATTTATTTAGTTTGTTATAAGAACTCTAGAAAATTTATTTTTTCTATGATGAGCCAAGGGTTGAAAATCAAATTTCCCATAAAGCAATAGGGAAAGTGCTTAATACCTCATGAATGGCTTTATCATCTAGGATATGTTATGATTTCGAACTTGGATAGGTCTTATGATCCTTTCAATAGATATACATGCCCGAAATCCAATTTTTCTATCTATTTGAATATGAGAAACACAATCATCATTCTGTTTATCATCAGTAGCGACCTAGAGTGACTCGATTTCGTAAAAAGTTCACCTGAACGGTCCAAAATTGTATCATTCGATTTATTTTAGTCTTACTTAATGCTATGCCTTTCAAATTAATTCCTAAATAAAACTTATGCAAGAAAAATAAGCTTTTATCAATCCTTTTATTTATGATTTCTTGCTAAACCTAGACATAAATTCTATCCTAGCAGCCAGCTTTAGATAACTTATAAGCTATACCATCATTTTCGATTCCAACAGACTCCAACAGCTCGAGTCTCAGATGCTTGGTGGAGAACAGGCGAATAACCTGGAAGCCAAAGAGATCCGCATCAGAAAGCGTCGACATGCTGAAGAACGAAAGCGCCTTTTGCGTGAGGCAAATGCTGAACTGGAGGATGAAGGAATTATTGTGGGAATTTACGAAAATATTCAAGATGAACTCCGAGTCAAGAATAGGCTGCTAAGAAAAGAAAGACAAAAAGTGAGAAACGTAGAGCTCTTTCGTTCTGTGATAAATGTAGCCATTGAACCAGGTAGATGAATGTCGAATTCTCCAAAAGATTATCTATACTTTGAATACCAAAATGTAATATCTGGTAATTCTCATCTGCTTTAAAAAGAACAGAATTCTAAGACTCAAGCGTGATTTCATTTCCCATTCTGCATAGGAGAGTAGATAAGCAGAATTCGGTCGAATTGCAAAGTAAGTATCATTATGAATTTTAATAACTTTCAAGCCATGAGCTCAGTCACAGTGGATAGAATAGTTTTGCTGTTTGAGCAGTTTACCTTTTTTGAAAGTATATTTGAGTTGAGTAGAAAGATTAAATACGCCATAGACTAACAGGTTAATGAAAAATGTTTATGAACCCTTTTCACAGCTTTAGTTAAATATTTGTTTAATTTTAATGAATACGTTAAATGGAGCCAATTTTCGACGTTTTGTTTCGCAATTTTCGCAATTTGCATGATATTCTATATTTTTAATGCAAAAGCTAAATCCGGTCGTCTTGCCTTAGGCTTTTAGCATATGCTTATAGAATTCTGCTAAGCATATTTGATTGGCTTATGAATAATGATTAACATTGCCTCCGTGATTAAATCTTATTATAATGTGAACACATTTCATAAATATACTTTGTCTAATTCCTTCTGATATAACTCGAAAATAGACGCACACAGAGTTGAGTATCTGAAATTCTTGTTTGGCATGTTATTTGAAGCAAAGATTAACGAAGCAAGCAATCGTGTTTGGCTTCATCGAAAAGTTATTGCTTGATGCTATAAAAGAAGCAGCCGATTCTCATAAAGTGTTTTTTGGGATAATAGCATCTTTTATGCCGCCTTATATGATACCTTATATTTATTATCTTATCAAAAGAAAGTTTCATTAATAGATATTGCTTGACCGTGGTCAAAAGAAAAATAGCTGAAAGAAAGCTGGTCTTGTGGCAGATAAAAATATGCCATTTTAAATAAGAATATCTCAGCCAATCTCTATCGCCCCTTAATTGCTTATATTCCATATATATTAGGCTAGAAGCACAGATATGTGGACAATTATTTTGGCTATTCCATTTTTTCTTAAGCTAAAGTAGAGAAAAGTATAAATATTTCATCTATAAACTTACAAGATTTGATTGATTTAAGCCTCATATATTTTATTATTTAAGAAAACTCATAGTAGGACGAAAAACTTGAAAAGAAGGAATATTATTTGAAAGTATTTAA